TAAAGTTTTAATCAAGTAAGAGAATAAAGAATTATATTTTCTGTCAAAAAGCAGATCTCGATGTTTAACATTAATACAATTTTTACTTGTAATCGAAAGTCGTCATTACAAAACGTTCCGCCCTTGGGAATGCTCTTTGCGTATTATTAGACCAGCTGATCAACGCGAACCACGTTATTATTTCCTCCGGCAAACGATAACGGTTCCGTGCGGAGAATCTGTGCGGCGATCGGGCGGCAGACCAAGTGACATTTGCCATTACCTGTGTGGGTGGGTTGACCATAGGTATGTACATGTCTGTTACATACTGCCATGTCGGTTACATAGAACCGCCGCGTCGGTTCGATACAGACATGTCCCACGACATGAACGGTAAACAGAGTCTTGGGTTAATTGGTGATATCGACTTCGCGTCTGCACCGTCTGCACCGTCCAACGGAGGGACGGAAAAATGAGCAACAAGTCCTCGTGGCTACCACCGTCTCTCGCCCTCGGAAAAATTTCAACGTCCCGCGGGAAAGTTAGCGCGGAGTGTCCATTTTGTGAAGCACCATTCTGCACGGCAAAAAATTCGAGCTGTGTTTTAAAAGAGGAGAGCGGAGCTTGTTCTTGCGCGGCCAAGTTGCTACGACGTAATTTTACAGAAATCTACTGGAAGCCGCGCTACTTGGAACGGGCAAAAATGAGAGAGATACCGCCCATTTTAACCGCAGATGTCGTTAGCAAAATAGAAGTGTACAAAAAATGTAATCTTGTTTAAAAATGACATAGTCCGACATCTGCATATATATATTATATATACACACACACACACACACACACACACACACACGCACACACAATGACGATCGCGCTCTGCTAAATTCTTAAACGTTACCTCTATTTTCACAGCAGCATTTTCAAAGAAATTAAGTAAGCGATTGACAAACAAAGTAGGTATTCGGCTTAAAAAAAGAATAATCATTGAAATCTGTAACAACAGTCCCTTCCCTATATAAAATGCATTTTTCTACGGATATGTATTTTCCGTGTTCCATAAATAAAGGTGGTTTTAAACAGAACGCAGGGTAATAAATCATGGTTACTGACCATTGCGCAGTTATACTGACCACTTGGTTTTACGAATCTCTATTCGGAACAAGCGCAAATTAAGCTGATTTTTCCTCCCAAAACTATTCTTTTTTTTTTCCATTCTTGAACAAAGCATGATGGATTATCTTTAGTGGCATGTTTTCGAAAAGAATCTGCTTATCGTATCTTTGCTCTATTTTGAATATTAAACGCAAGTGCAATATAGGTCACAATCTTCGGTTTTTCCGTCTCGAACGTTAGAATTGATCTTATAAGACGCATTAAGTTGTAAACTGGACTTGTGGCGTCGCCAGGGAACGACGATGATTGTAATCAGTCTACCTCACATGGAATCACAGTATAATGGCACCAAATGCATTTGAAATATATATCAGTCGTATCACCATATGCGCGTCGTATCACCTTCGGACACTTGCCCCTTCAATTACGATAATGGTGGGTTTGAGTATTGCTCGCACTAATTACCGCGGGAATTAATTTGAGCGTTCGCATGGCTATCTTGGCGTACACTTTGATAGTGTCGCATTAGGCCAGATAGGTATCCCATTAAAACGGTCGCACGTTTTACGGCGTGACATGTGGAGAGGACGAATACGATGCCACGCAATCTTGCCTTAATCGCCACGACGAGCAGTGCGACGTTCGTTCGTGTGTTTTTTCATATTAATCATTTTAATCGTTTCATTTGGCGACCGTCGCCACTATCACTGCCAAAATCCGCCATTATCCGCCGCACGGAATTAGCAGAGAGATAACATTTGCGCGAGAGATAACACTGTGGAATTCGGAGTGACGTTTCCATTATCTACCGCATGTACCTTCATGGTGCCACGTCGGCACTCGGAACCGACTCGAAATATGACGACGTACCTCGTCAACGTTCCTTCTCAAAACAAGACTTGAGATAGATCGTGCGGTGTCGTAAAAAATTGCACAAGTCAAAAATCACCAAGTTGAAAGGAGTAAATTTGATAATTCTCCAAAAACTCTGCATTAATTAAATGGAAAATTAGAAAATCTAAATGGAAAATGGAAAATCTCGGTGAAATGAGTGAATTTTTCACACGCGTGTGATGTAACTTATTTTACAGTGAACAAGACGTCATAGAAACAAGACTCAATAATGGACAGTTCTAAGCTATATCGAAGATACACTTAGAGGAAAGTTTCTTCGATTGAAAACTAATTTATTTGAACCAAAGAAAGTTGTGCATTTGCTGGTACAGTTAAAAAAATTTCTTCGATTTCAACGTCGTTTCTTGAAATGAAAGAAATTTTTATTATCCTCAAAGATATTTTCAACTTGGCAAAATTTAACGAAAGAAACTTAATTCCTTTAAACATAACTCCTTTTTCCGGGCGTATAAAACTTGTGATCACAGATACTACCTTGATACCTCAAAACTATTCATTATTGAACCTTGTGTCTGTGACATCTTTTGTTCACCACATTATAAGCAACGTTATAAGTCCTTGTTCACGCTGTAAGCATCATTCTTGTTGTATATCAAATATTAAACACTGACAAATTGTGCTTACAAGCGCTGTAAGCGCAAACGGAATGTACTCTATCTGAAAACTAACTCACCGAGACCCAATTTTCCGTAGTAATTAGTGAAGAGGTCCTTTTGATTAGTCGCATTTTTCGAAAAATTCAGATTCGTAATCACACACGCGATGCGTACATACGGTAAAACTCACACAGAATTTGATTCGCATGCTAAAAATACACACATAAAACATGTAATTCAATGAAACTGCACCAA